TGAGATCTAGAAATTTAGTATTTGTGGCCCTTGCACTACTGGCTTGTTATGTTCTAGTAAATTTTTATCTGCTTTTACAAATAGTACAATCAATATCAAAAGATGATGAAAGGAGTAAATATAAATAATGGCTCTGAGTTTTAAGTTTTCCCTTCTTTATTGTTCTATTCAGCTGATTTAACTTTTTGCTCAAAATTAGTATTCTGAAACATTTTGCTGGATATCCCTTTGAGAGAATGAGCTTCCATTAAAGCAGTGACCTTTAGCTCTACTCACTACTCTGAGGCATGATGGAAGGTGTCCTTGGGGGCTAAAATATAAACAGTAGCAGTATTATGAAAGCTAGTCTTTCAAGGGCACAGTTGAGTAATTCAACTCAAATGAGAAAATACAAGAAAAAGACTCCTTTAACTGGAATGGGTGAAGGAGGAGGAAAGCTAAGAAATTTTAGGACAATTTGAACAAATATTAATGCCTTTTATATATAATTATAGAGATCATGGCTTAGCTGACCTGATTTTGGCTGCCTTTCTAGGTGATATTGATCATGGTTATCACATTAGTTTCATAGAAGTCATTGTATCCATTCTTGTCATCATGTCATACATGGGTACATCTGACACGACCTAATGTCTTCATTTTGTTTTCAGCTGGTGAAAACATTCAGTAAATTTCATTCAGTAAAACTTATGATATGGCATTTGATAATTCAGCTTGATAATTTGACAATTCAGTTGGTTAGATGTCTTTGTTGGCTAATTGAAAATAAAATGATCAACATGTTTGCCCATTTGTATTTGTTTAAAATATATCTTGTTAACATATTGAATTTCCTTTTGTTGTGCTATTTTTACCTGGATATTTTAATGCATATTTTTGAACTTCAGAGAGCAGAATGATGGACTAGACATTGCTTTTTTTAGTTGTTAACCTCTCCACTTTCTTAATATCTGATGATTTTTACTGTTTATATAATGTGTAGTCTCTTATTGTGTCACAGTTCTTAATATTATGTTAAAATATGATGGACTATTTCTTTTTAATCTCTAAGAGTTTAAGAGTTTTTTTGATTCTTCCTCAGGTCTCTGGAGAAAATTTAAGTGTCAAGAGAAATGCAGTTGACCCTTGAACAACATGGGGGTTAGGGAAGCTGACCCCCTGCACAGTCGTAAATCCATGTATAACTTCTGACTCCCCAAAAACTTCACTACTAATAGCCTGCTCTTGACTGGAAGCCTTATCAATAATATAAACAGTTGATTAACAGTTTGTATATGTATTATATACTATATTCTTATAATAAAGAGAAAAATGTTTATTTTTAATTGGTGCAAATTTGCAAAAAATTTTCCAGTGTATTTACTGAAAAGAAAAATGTGTATAAGTGGATCCACACAGTTCAAATCAGTGTTGTTCAAGGGTCAACTGTACTTACGTATGCTCATGTAATTTGTATTTTAACCAAAGATTATCTAAGCCCAATGGTCTTTTGTTGCTCATTGACATAATAATCAAGGTCATATAGATCACTGAAGTTGCTTGTGTTTCTGGAAGTTTGCACATATATTTGAGACCTTCTTAATAGCCTTCTCAGAAACTCAGGGCATGCTGGCAGAGTTCTGTCTTCTAGTTTATTTTCTGTTTATTATTAGCCATATAAATGGTAGTTTTGTTGGGAAAGTGTCTCTAATGTAGTACCAGGCTGTTTCACGTGTGTTTTAGGAGTATGCTTTTGTCTCTTCTAACACACAAGTCAATGTGATAATTAGGAGAATTTTAGAGCTGGGTTTTCAAAGTGTGTTTTGTAGAATAGTAATTCTATAGATTATTAGTGATATTACATGTGATAAAAGAGGTTCTATAATTAAGTTTGGAAAACAGAGTTAAGCAATGTTAAATAGGGCATTTCTAAAGGGCTTCTAGAATTTTTCTTATGGTGGTGTTTTGTAAATTCCTAAGAGGGAATGAGTCTGCAGAAGTTTGAAAAGTTTGGAAACATAGGATGAACTTATGTTTATAGTATGTATACTATTATTTCTGTGTTTTAGACTTTTTGCAGTTTTATACTCTTTATTATGCTTTTTTTCCAGATTAATGATAATACCCATTGCTTTAATTTCAAAGACATTTTTTCTAAAAGGTATCTGGAGGTTGAAGAAAACATTTGAGTATACTGTTTGAAAATGTAACTAGCATACTGTTTAAAAATAAAAATAAGTTTAGCCTGTATTTTTCCCTTTTCTGGACTCAGTGTATGCTATATAGGGTTTCTCAAATATTTTCATTATGGTGAACTTTGGCAGTTTTCAAATCATATGTGTTTACAGGTGTAACTGAGGGCATGGTTTTCATATTGATCACTAAAGAGACTAGTGTTCCATGGAACATATTTTGGAAAAGATAGGTCAGCCTTAAGATATTCCTCAATTTGACTATTTCGTGAAGTGTTCAGTTATTGTAATAGAGAATTCAGATATATGCTGTGTCACATTCACTGTTAGATTTTGGTTTGCTATTATCATTCCAGTTCTACCAGTTACTGGCTCCATGATTAAACTTCAATTTGCATCTGGAATGGAGATAATAATAGAACTTACATTTTAGGGTTGTTGTAAGGATTAAGGCAAATTTTCCATGTAACACATTTCATGTAGTGCCTGGTACAGTATAAATACTCAGTGAAGTTTGTTCTTTTAGGGAATTACACATGCACATGTTCCTGTCATAGTAGTGGATGGTTTGTCTTTTGGTCGTTCTCTTTAATTTTTTTTTAGCAGGAGCCACATGTCTAGGGGCTGTACTGAAATTTAATAAGAAAGCCTCTCAGTTTTGTAGTTTTTTTCTAAACAAAATGGCTAGAGAGCCTATCGGTAGCGCTTAATCTAGCAGGGTGCATTTAGGTCTCACATATCTACCTTCGTGTTCTGTAGTAATAGTCTGTCCTCTTTAAGAGCTAAGTCGGTAGGAGCTAAAGTAGCTCTGGTTAGGCTATTGATGGTTTCAAAGCACTTGAGAGAAAAAGTTACACCTGTAAACACAAATGCCTTGAAAACTGCCAAAGTTCTTGATAACATTTGCAGTGAGCAACGTCTTGCTTTTCTCATAATTTACCTGCATATTTATTAGAACATATTCAACCATCCATGTGTAGCTTGTCTGTTCTATAGTGGAATCAGGCAGTAATAACTGCAGGCAAAATATTGAGAGCCTGGTTAAATGAAGTTGAAATGTTTGAAATAAATTGGTGGTAACTGTTTAGAACTGTCAGCAGAAATATATCCTTTAGCATTTCTTGTAGTGCAGGACTACTGGCAACAAATTCTCTCAGCTTTCCTCTGTCTGAAAAGAGCCAGAGGAAAAAATACAGTGCTGTTTTCAAGAACAGTAATATGAATGATGGACTTCTCACCAGGAACAAATAGGAAGATGGTAGAGAACAAAGTTATAATTTTTATAATGAAATTTTAGACTTAACAGATTTTTGTTTTCTAATTGCTGTGCAAATAATTAAAAGTAAAGAGACTGCTATTTAATCTTTTAACTAAAGAACAGAAGCACAAATTGGGGAATAAATGATACAGATTTATAAAAATGTATATGGGTTAGGTGATATTTTACTTATGTATGTAGTACTTTAATTGCTTTAGAACCATGATTACAAGTTCTAGAACTTAAGTCTTGGGAAGTAGGTGGTCTCACATGACAATAATTTAAACATTTTATACTTGTTTTATCTATAATTTTTATGTTATTTATTTAGACTGTATAATACTATGATTAATGAAATATATTTCTTTTTAATCCATAGTTTAAATTAAGTCTAACAGGTTACACTTAATAGCACTTTCAAGGGGAGAATAATTCTATTCTTGTATGTTTTCTTTCAGTTATCTACATAGTGAACATGCATGTTTACTGAGTTTTATTACAGTTAAAATTATACCATAAATGACTTTTAAATGGTCATATAACTATATAAATATAGTTTTTTATAACTGTATTATAGTTTGTGCTTATCCAAAAGATAAAAAAATCCTTTTTGCACAGTATGTTAACTATAATAGTATAACAGACTTTAAAAAGAAAGAAATTAAGTAAATGTTCAGCATTCCCAAGATTTATGTTCATTACATTTTATTTTAATTTTATTATACTTTACATTTTTTGTATTTTATTACATTTTATTTTACTAATACTTATTTATGCAGTGCTAGTTCTGTGTGCCAGAAAGGCTAAGTAATTTGCTCAGAGTCACACAGCTTATTTAGTGGCTGTGCAGGCTGGCTCCAGAATCTGTGCTCCTTATAACTTTGCTATGATATTTCTTTTCATCTTAAAATTAGTCTTCTCAAAAAAGGGTTATACTTAATCAGTTTAACCTCAACTTACCAGTATTGGATGATAATTTTTTTAAAAAAGGGAACCAATTTAATAGGTGTAAAATGATGTAATTTTATTCTGTAAAGGAACTTGATAAAGATTAGTTTAAAAATATAAAGTTGTAGAAGTTAAATTATTGTTCATACAAAAGTTTTTGTATGTCATCATTTTTACTATAAGGAATTTAAAAGTAAGAGGGAAATTGATTAAGGCTATTGCTAAAGGAGATGGTATCTTGGGGTTATTCCTAGAATGAGTCATCTGTCTTTAGGGACTGATCAAATTGCTTATTAACTATTTTTGGCAAGTATTTATAGTAGCAATACTTACTTGTGCAAAATACCAAGGGTTTGTTATAATTTTAAAGATTATTTATTTAAGATGAATGTTTTAAATTTAAGGGCACTACCTATACGTAGTTGAAAACATATATGTATATGCAGGAGAATGTAAATTAAAAAGGCAAACCGTCCTTTTCTCCTAGTTCCTTAGTCTCATCCATTAGACCATCCTCTATCCTATCTGCCATTCTTATCGTCTATCTGTATTACTATTAACTATTTATAAGAAATATTTTCTAATGTAAAAATCTAACATTTCTTTCTTTTTTTGTGGTGGAGCTGCAAATTCTTTGGAATTGTGAATATTCTTTTGAAATATGGAGCCCAGCTAAATGAACTTCATTTGTCATACTGCCTGAAGTATGAGAAGTTTTCATTATTTCGTTACTTTTTGAAGAAACGTTGCCCATTGGCACCGTGGAGCCATATACCTGAATTTATAAATCATGCAATTAAAGCACAGACAAAATACAAGGAATGGTTGCCATCTCTCTTACTTGCTGGATTTGACCCACTGAATCTACTATGCAGTTCTTGGTAAGAAATCCTACCATAGTGGACCTTACCCTTTTTGAGTGAATATACTGCCTTTAATTTCTTCCAATTTCTTGACATCCCTGTGTTGGGAGGAGGGTATATGTTTTTTGCCTATGATGGCTGGGGGTTGGGGGGATGGGATGCAAATACCAAGTCTTAATGTAAGGATAGAGTCCTACAAAAAGATCAGAGGTGACTGGAAGAGTAAAAGGGGATGGATGCCTGTGAACTCTTCCGAGAGGGACTGTTCTTCTACTTAGGCCATCCTCATGCTTCTCTTAAAATGCCTGTGACAGAATTGTTGTGCTGCTTTGGAGATTTTTGTCATCCCTTAGATAACTAGATTAAATAGTTCTGCCCTACAGCATCTTGTCTATTTGAACTTTGTCTCCCTTAATAAATACTGATTTCTGAAGTAGCTGAGTATATAATGTTTACTTCATGTAGTTTCTTATAAGGGCAACCCCTACAAGTGATTGTTTATTAAAGTTGATTTAGGATTTTGGGGGGCAGGAAGAGGAAAACTGTTTCTACCAGCCTCCAGCCTTCGTAAAACCTGTTTGTGTCTAGTTGGGGCTGAGAAAGTAATTGTAGCTTTGAGAGAACTCTTTTGCCCTGATAATTCAAATCAAATGAAAGAATAGAATTAAAGTCTCCAGAAAAATTAAGAACATGTGTATTTTACAAAATTTCAATGAAATATCTAGAAGACTTCATTTTTGTGCTTTAGAAACTACCATTCACTAAAACAATGAAATTTTGTGTTTCAGCAGAAAAGTGCTTTGATATCTTATTATTTGAGGTTTTCTTTTCAAAAGACGTTCTCCTTAGGGTTCATGCAAGCAAACGTTGTCCCTACTTGTAAATTTAGTTTGCATTTCTGGGATTCTTTCCTCCATGTGGTGGCTTCTCCATCTGTATGTGAAGAACAGGTCTTTATTTAGTGGGATCCCAGTGTCTACCTTTTTATTACGTCTGCTATTGTATAAAATTCAGGAATTTTCACTAATCAGAGGTTTTATGCTCAAGGGCTGTCATCCCTTTCTGATATGAAGTGCTTCAAATATATGATTTCTAAGGAAAAGCAGCTGGTTTGAGGAATATAGAAGTAAAAGCAGAGTTCAAGTACATGTTCTGATCTCTACTTTTTTAAATAGTTTTTGTTTGTTTGTTTGTTTGTTTATAGCTTACCATAGGTTGAGTCCCTGATTGTATATACTTTCTCCCACAGCTGAATAACACATAGTTGTCAGTCAGATGCTCAGTGTTGTAGTTCTCTCTATACCTTTTCAGTAAATTTCACAAAAATCCATTGTATTTTTTACGTAGTTCAATGAAATATAGATTATGGATAATTTATTGAGAAACTGCTGGTTTTTGAGTTATTTGTATATGTATGTTTGCCTTAACAAAGCCTGTTAACATGCATGCGTACACACACACACACACACACACACACACACACACACCCTACTGAGATATAAACACTCGCTAATGAATGCTGTGTCTAGCTATCAACAAAGCTATTTAAGTACTCTTAACATTTTACTTAGTGAATTTTGTTGTTGTATCTGGGCTTCTGTCAGCTAGCAGCAGTTGTCCCTCACCACTTTTGGCTTCCCTCCCTGATTGCTGCTGTGAATCCAACCCAACACAGGGCTGTAGACTGCCCTGACAGTGTGTTCCTGTTCTTCTCACCCCACTTAGTGTTGGTCTGCAAGGCACCCACTTTTTTCTCAGTCACACTCCTTGTAGGCCTCTACTGAAGCTACTAACTTGACTTCATATTACTTTCAGCCTTCACACCTCATTCTGGTTTCTAGTTTATTATATTCAGCATGTTGCTTGACATGTAGTAGGAACTATTTTAAGTCTTTTAATGTGTTAACTCATTTAATGTAAAATACAGTAGCTAGATAGAATTATTTTACAGAGGAGGAAATTGAGGCACAGAGTGTTTAATGTATGTGCCTAAGCTCACACAGCTAATTAGTGCTAGAGCTGACTGAGACTTGGGCTCTGTAGTGTGGCTCAGGTCTGTCTTTCTAATCACTGTGCTATGTGTCCACAGGGATAGGGTAGTTATATCACCTAATTTTAGGACCTTAACCCCTTGCCTAACTGGGGAGCAGAGGGGAATCTGTGCCAAACTCTTCTTGTTCCTTCCTACTCCTAAATTAGAAGGAAACTATGCAGTTAAAAAAATTAAGCATGGTCTCATTTCCTTTCTTCCTCAGCCAGCTACATAGACTGCTGGAAGGAGAGGGAATTATTTACTTTTTTCTCCCAGAAGCTCTTGTAAAATATACTGTCCCATCCCCAGTTCTTATCAGGCCCCTTCTCCATGTGAGCAGCCATTTGAGAATTTTTGTGGTAATAAGCCACTGCATATGTGCTACATTTATTGGATGTGTTAGGATAGAAAAGTTAAGCAGTAAGCCACAAATTATTTTGAAGTAAACTGTAAAACTTTCAGCTCTTAACTGAGAATGCCTACTGCATATATTTTACTTGGAAGGAGTAACTTTAGTCACTTTATATTCATTAGGAAAAATACAATGGAAAATTTCACTTTAACAATGAAAATGCTTAACGTGGTCAAATTTTTGTTCACTGATCTTTTATTGAATGGATAAAAGCCAGTGTTTAAACTGAATATGATAAGTGCTTTCTTTGATTAAATATACATTCATAGAGCTGTTTCAAGAAAAATTCTCTCATAAAAATTCCAATATGTTGTTAAAGTAGATTTTAGTTCTATCTTATTTATATCACATGCAGTCTGTTGCTTAATCTTTGTCATGTAAATTATAAATGTCTTGCTAGGTATTGCTTGTCTTAAACAGTCTTAAAAATGTATCTGGCTGAATAATTGCCTGTCACAATATAATCTGCAGAGTTGAAATATTTTTTCGACTTTAAATGAAAGACTAGACCCACCCCTTCCCTAATGCAGTAGGTGAATAATAGAAAGTAAATGTTAGCTGTGCATTTAGTTAATTAAATGTCACTTGTTTATGATTGTACAACTGCTTTGGAGAATGTAATCGTCAATATAGTATGATAACAGTACATTTGTAGTGGCATTATCAGCATTGGTAAGTAAATTCACCATTATATTAACTAAAGTAATATAAATTGTGTAAACATTTATTTTTCATGTCTGTGTTTAGATAACTGCATAAAAATGGATGTGTTTGGTATACTGTTTGTGTTTGGTCACAGTGAGACTTAAAGGACATTAAAGCAGAAAAATGAAACCATTAAAAAAGAAATAAGGAACCAGAATCAAATAACTTTTTGTGTGGTGTTTCTAGAAAGTCAAGGAGATTGTTTGCTTTTGAATATGTTTTATCATTTTATTTATTCTCAGTATTTCCTGATTAATTGGTATTTCCCTAAGAGTTTCCTGAGAAGTAAAATGTTTTCCTAAGGCATTTGTACTACACATTTTTTTAAGTTCTTCCTTATATATGTTTGCATATAAGAGAATTAAAAATTTGGGAAGTGATTTTCATACTCTACTGTCATTGCAAGGATACTTTGATCCAGAATTATAAGAAGTAAGTTGTCTTTGAGATGACAAGTTTAGAGTATTATTCAGTGTCTTTCCATTCCTTCTGTTTTTTTTTCCTTCTTTAGTCCTTGCTCAATAATATCTTCAAAAAAGGGACCATGGAATTTCCATTTTTGCAGTAATTATCAGAGGCCCTAATCATTTTTTTCCTTCAAACAATGTGATGATGTAATCTTGTTAGAATTTAGTTTGACTAGATTAAGCTTTGATTAGATTTCATGTATACAGTGTTATAAGGCCTACTGAAAATATAATACTAAAAATTTTAAGCCAGTTCTAATAATATCAAATATTTATGTAACATTTTGTAGTTTCAAATGTTTATTATATTGTCTCATGTTATTTTCACAAAAAGTCCCCTAAAATAGTTATAGTAAGTATTATCCTCATTTTAGAGACCAGGATCTAGGGCTTAAATAATTTAGGTAACAAGTTTATAAATAGTAGAAGTGGTATTAGAAATCAGAACTTTTCTTAGACCAGTGCTCTTTCTATTAGGACTCAAGTGCTTATAAAATTTGGGAAGTCTCTATTGGGTGGGTTAGGAGGCTCTCTGATGTTATTTTGAAAAAATGGAGAACAATTTCTCTTAAACACCTTCTTTCAGTCCTTAAAGACAAAACTTACTCTAATACATCCTTTAGAGCTGAATCTATAATAAGGAAAGTTCTTGAGAAGAACAGTTGTACAGACCTGGAGATTGGGCAGAAACAAGCCAAATCTGTTGCACACTCGTTTAAGGATAGTTGTGGGGGTTTGGGCTTTATCCTTTCAGGACCATTAAATTATGTGTCTGTAAGGATGACCATCTAGATTTGGCAAGATGGTCCTGATGGGAGGCGATAATGGTAAATCTGCTGATGACACTGGTGCTGTCTGTCTGTCTGTTCTTACCACAGCTGCTGGGGAATGGTAAAGAAAGTTCCTACCCTTTATAAGAATAGAGATTCCTCTTGTCATCTATAGGACAACTACACAGAGAGTCAGTTCAGTTTCCTGCAGGAACTTGATGATTCTTCATATCCACTGAACTTGCCTCCAGATCATGAATATTTTCTAAGCCCCCGTTTTCTGTCTGCGTTCCACATTAAGTTGTTGCAAGAGTATGTGGTCTTTGTCTCAGAATGAATCCTTGGTGTATTTTGTGTATAATGGTGTGTTAACATCTTGCATATATAGGATTGACTCAGTCAGCGATGACATGCTTATCTTCACTTTGGAGTTCACTAATTGGCGGAGACTTCCTTTGACCGTTGAAAAGTTGCTCTCTGCTCGTGCCTCAAACTCTTCTTGGGCTCTACAGCAACATATTGGTAAGAAAGTACATGTTTTTAAACACCCTTCACTACTTTTTTTCTTTTCTGTAGTTATGTTGTAGTTTCAAGTGATAATAGTCATTGGAGAACATATTTTGATTTGGGCATCATTAGCATTCCCTTTATGTGGGGAAAGGATGGAACCATGCTAATAGATGAGGGGGTAGGCGGGGCTTATAGTAATTTCCTTCAACAAAAATCGTATCTGATTTTATAAGTTTTACCTAAGGAGCACATAAAGAAAAGCAGGTGTTTATGAATATTTTTATTTAATGATATCCTTTTATTTTTAGTAAGGATTATATAAACAAAAGTGAGTTCTAAAAATCCTATAAGTAAATATTTACTTGTTGATCAAAAAATGCTCAACATTTTTCCTCTTTGGAGTGTAGGTAGATTTGTGTTCTCTCTTTAATAATTTATAATCCCTAAAAGGAAATATTACTGTCCTTTATTTATACCTGTTCTTACTGAGTATATGCTGGTGTGTTGATATAACTATGGAAGTGAGCTGAGTGAAAATTCTGTGAATTGATTGATATTTTTAAATGACTGATTTAAGGCAAACTCTTAACTTATTCTCACTTAATAAAAAGGTTTTAAGCTTTTTTAAAAAAGCACACAGGAGAATATTTTATAGAAGAAAACTAGTTTAAATTTAATAATAATATATGCAAAATATTCCTAGTTATTTATTCAGATTTATTTCACTTTATATTTTGTTAACTAGATTATGTCTTAAATTAGGAAAATTATTTCTTCACTGCTATTTTTATATGAAATGTACTCTTCATAAACATGTTGAATAGGATTTTAACAAGTAAATTTATTCATATGTAGAAGTATATCTTTTAATTTCTTGGAAAATTATATTTAAGTAAATTTTCTCAATCAAAAACAGACATCCAGGAAAATATGCTGTTGAACTGAGGTGTATTCAAACTGTTAGAGGTTTCTCTTGAGGAAAAAAGTAATCTGGAGTCTGAAGTCCTTTCTTTAATGATAATGTTGTAAAACTTGCTTCCATGTAATTCTTCATGTTGAGAATTGCATCTCCTTTTACTAATTATGTATCTGCAGCAGTAGAGAACAAATAATCTATTCAGAACAGATAGAATATGAGACAATGAATTTGAGAACAAAAAGTCAAAAGTGTATCAGTTAGTAAGTATGAGTGAAAGTTTACTCTGAAGACTTTACCATAAGGCAAGTTTGTCCAGATGAAGGTAAAAATTGTGCCTGAGTACATTACTCTGCAGTAGACTAAATCCATCAAGGGCTTCTTGTTTAATTAGTCACTGGGTAGAGCTTGTATAGAGTAATAGTCATCATCTCTTAAGAAGAGGATTTTATGTTGGCTGAAGATTTGCAAAATCCTTTCTCAGAGGTATTAATGTAGCTAATGCTTTTCTGATCTGTTTCTCTAGTCAAGACCTCTTTTCTTGGTTTCTGTCCCATATATCCAACTGCCTTTTGCTGTCCCACATTTTGACAATTCTGAAATTCGACCTTGTCATGTCCTGCAAGTCCTATTGTTCCTTCTGCCTGTTCCCTGGTTCTGGAGATGAGATGGTTTGGGAGTGCTGTTTACCAAGAAAGTGAGTTATCCCTGGCAAGTATTTGTTCACCAGGGATGATTTTGCCCCGCAGGGAATACTTACCAATGTCTGCAAATGTTTTTTTGGTTGTCACAGCGGGCAGGGGTGCTGTTTGCCATCTAGGGGCAGAGTCCTGGGATGCTGCTAACCATCCCCCAGGGCACAGGAAGTCGCCCCAGACAAAGGGTCATCTAGCCGTAGGTGTCAATAGTGCCAAGGTAGACCCTGATCCACACTGACTCTTGTGTTGTCCAGTCTTCAGAAGGTCTTTTCTTATTTTCCTAGAAAGGCTTTTTAATCCCTTTCTTATTGTAAACTATTTAGGAAAAGCTTGTTTTCTTCCTTCTACTGACATTGGTTTCTCAGGGTATTCGTCAGTAGTTCCTTTTCTGCAGATAATGGGAGCCATTATGACACAGGATTTTAGTGAGGATGGGAGGAAAAAACCACCCATCATCTCAGTTGTCTGAATTTCAAATGGGGTTATGATTCTCTTCTTTTCTATAGTTTAAGCCTCTCTTCATGCATTCAGCTTACCTTTTTCTTCAATTTTCAGTACACTCATTTCCTCATATTGGTTATTTGTATTGTTCTCTCTTTTATTTGGATTTTGACCTGCAGGATTTCTAGTAAGTAGAGACATAACCAGGGTTTTAACACCAACAAAAGAGTGAATCCATAAGGACAACTCTTTGATTACCTCTCTAAATGTATTACGGCTTCACCACACTTTCTCCAATAACTTACTATGTTATTTAAAACTATCTTGTCAATATAGTCCTTTAAATGTTTTGGAAAGGATGCTTCTTGCAGCTCTACCACTATTAGTAAGCTCCTAGATAATTACAGCTCCCTCGCTTCTTTAAGTTTACCAGTTTCTATCCCAGGGGAAAGATTTTCTCCATTGTGAGCCCCTTTCAAGATGCCATAGATGTGATCAAACTTCTCCTTGCCTCATCTTTTTCCTCCCTATGGAAATTATAACTTGCTCTGGTAGTGTATAAATCTAAAAAAGACCATCAGTCACTTGCTGCTTATCTTTTAAATCGAGTCAGATTTTTCTTCAAAAAAGTTTTTTTTTGCAACAAAAAGGAAAGTATACTAGGTGAATTTTACTTCGTGGTTGCAGCTTTAATAACAATACTTTGATCATGTGCTTTAAACATATCTTCCTTAGAAACGACCATTTAACCACATTGTGGTGGACTTTGTAATCAAATTTGCTAATCCCTGACCAGCTGTCCAAGATCAAGTCTAAGTAATTAAGTTCTTATTGGTAAAAGCACTTGGCTTTAGTCCATCCTGAACCTTTAGTGATCAACCAGGTATAATTATATCCAGAGTATTATATGGATCTGAATCCTACAAAGAATCCTGAAAGAACCCCAGGAAACTCTCTTGATCTATTCATTTCAGTGTTCCTCTGCTTTGTTCTAAAAAGGATTTAAAACAGTTTATACATATAGATTATCACAAAATAATAAAACTGAAATTAAAACTGGAAGCAAAAGAAAAATGGAAAATAAAGGGGCAATGGATATAAAATGGAGTCACGGGAAGATGAGAGAGGCTTGAACATGTTTTATAGATCCAGGAGTCTCATTTTGTAAAAACAAAAAGCAAAACATTAGATTAAAGACTTGGAGATAAAGGCAGTAATTTTATGTAATGAGATTTCAGATGAGCTGGTGGAAGGTATGGGGGGATGGGATTAGCCTCAAATAGGTTCATTCCTTTGAGAAGGAGTACCCCTGGGGATGGGGTACATACAGATAAGTTTATAGTTTGAGGATTGACAAGCTCAGAGAAAGAGAGCCTGGAGGACCTGTTTTCACTTAGAAGTAGGAGGTAAAAAGTCTTGCTAAGAATTGAAGTGAGAATTGGATAGGTGGTCTCAATCATTTAGAGTGGTTGTTGTGGAAACTAATGGGGAACCAATAAAAGATTTGCTGAGCAAATTGACTTGTGGGCCTGGTAGACATTAGAAGTGGTATAGTTTCATATGATTATATGATCATTTTTTTCCCCAGTGTATTTTGCTTTCTTTATATTGGGGTCCAGAAGGAAGATGCTTAGATTGACCCTGGGGATTGTCAGAGCAGGTATGGAAGAATTGAGGATGAGAAGATAATATATGATGTGCCTTTGGAATACAGTCTAA